AATTAAGGTACGTATGCGCATAAAACTAATTTTATATGCTTAGTATCATGCTAGGAGTTTAAAGAATGTATTAAGTGATGAAGTAGTAGCATGTATGGTTGATAAATGCTTTGAATTGTGGTTGGTTGATGATGAATTTATGTGCAAGCATGTGTACATGTTATTTGAGGCATGATACAAGTTAAATTATGTATGAATCATGGAAGTATGTTTTATTTTCAAGTATCAAGGAAGCATGAAATTATTAAACAATGTTTATACATGTTTAAAGGAGCTAAGAATTTTTTTTTTAGCATGATTCATGATTTTATTCCCAACCATATATTATTGGAGTTGAGTAAGGAAGTTAGTTTATTTATTTACTCACTCACATAAGTACATTTGAGGTTGAAACCAAGAACTTTATTAGTGCATTTTATGCACCAAGGTAGTAATGGTGCAATTTTGTGTACAAACTAGGCAATAAACCTTAATTAAAGGAAAGAACTATTGTAAATGGCATGACGCTTTTACTCATAAGACTAGCGATTGCATAATATTTAGAAATAAGATTCAGGATGAGATTGATTAAAATAAAACACATAAATTTCCTTGATGAGAAAGTTAGCTCTTGCGAAGTAGAGCTTAAGTCTGCATCAGAGTATGAAGTCTATAAAATGAATTGTTTTATGGTAAGCGCTGACATGGATATTATGGAAGATAACATACAAGATTGAAAGAGGTTACTGTTGCAGTCAAATTGTATGAGAGGCTAGTCAAGGATGGAGTAATTGTGTCACCTTAATGTCAGGACGATGATTATGAAGATATGATGATATGTAGATAGCACTTTAGTTCTACTCATGCTACAAATGAATGTTTGGCCTTCAATGGGTTTGAAAACAAAAAGATCAAAACAAATGCAGTAAACGTTTCAAAGCAAGAATACCAAGCGATGAATCTTGCTGATTTCAATCCTAAAGGGAAGAAGGACAAAGCTAAGTCCTCTAAGAATGGTCAAAGGACTTGTAGGTCACCTGACAAGACAAGCAATCACACACATAAGGCACAGTCTTACAAAGAGGCAATTCAGTTATTTCCCTTGCAAGTTAAAGCGATAGAGGGACTTAAAAATATGCGACACAATCTTTGTTATTCTTGTGTTGATGATTTATTGCTTTTTGAACTAGTCAGGAGACCATCTCAAATGATCCGTATTGGATACCCAGACACCAAAGAATTCATCACATGAATAAAAATAAAATAGTATTAAAAGTGTTGAGCCATATTTAATTGTTTAGTTCATCAACATTTCAGGACTTCAAGATCACAAAAGATAGGCTAACATTAGATTAGATACTTCAAACAAGAAAAAAAAAGATCAGAAATTCTGGATCTTAACACCCAAAAAAACAAAGGAAGTATAAAGAAAAAAAAATCAACATTACCAACTACTATAATTTTTTATTCATTGAAACAAACAAGCGAGATATTATTATATTAAGCCTATTTCTGCCAAAGATAAGACACTTTGGGGAAAATTGTTCATATAAATGTGTTCCGCATTATAAGTGGTTTACCACTGAGCAACGCAATGAGCGAATACATTACCCCCTGCTTAACGTGCATACACTTAAAAGAGTTAAACATACTACTAGTTTAACAAAATACAAATATGAACAGAAAAGTTGGAGCAACCCCATCCTGTTTGCCTTGAATTGCTCTTACAACATTTGCAGCATCACACTCCAAGTTAACATCCACAAAGCCCCACCTGCTAGCAAGGCGAACTCCATAGGCAGCGGCATCAGCTTCAGCCATCTCAGAATACTAATCACAGCACCTAAGCTTACCCCATTACTCATTACACACATGAGCATCCATATTACCGTAGCAACACTAACCCCAGCATTATTCTCAAAACATAACCCCATTAGCTCGCATACTGACCTTAGCATTATAAGCGACATAATCAAAGCACAAATTAACAAAACCCGTAGCCATAGTAACTGCACTAACCCCGGCATTAGTCTCAAAACACTCCTTGTTCTTGCAGTGCAATGCGACCCAAACTATGTCAGCAAAAATAAAGAGTTATATTATATACTAATCAGATCATAAGCACAATGAAATCACACTAACATAGTATGACTATGTTCAAAATATAACAGAAAATCATCTGCACCCTGCAAAATATATGTACAACAAAAAAGCATTTCAATAAACAAACCAGATGAAAAGAAAAATGTAAGCACATGTCAATCAATTGAGATTTATATTATATACTAATCAGATCATAAGCACATATCATAACTATGACTTTTCTACATTGATTAGAACATATCATAAACAAAAATAAACTTATGGAAAATTTTAAAACCCAATTATACAGTAGGACTGATTCATAATCATCATGAATTTCTTGTAAACCCTTCAATTAATAAGGAAACTACATCAAATGGCCACTACATGACTTGAATGGGGTCAAATGGAAACTCTTGCCTATCCAGAGTAATCAAGCAATAAGAGGGTACATCAATCCTCGTAGCAAAGCTAATAAGCTAACTCCATGGGAAGTTGCTTGTCAACTAATGCAAAAAGTCCAGCAAGTCCCATCTCCTTAACTATCTTCCTTTTTTGTTCACAAAATTCATTAAGAATTATACCAAAACTCTCCACCTGACAATTTACATTTTCAGGCTGCAGACAATATATAAAAAAACATAAAAATCACATACCCATATAACATGTCAAACTGAAACATATATAAATAGTTGTCAAGGCTTTTTAACCCTTTTCATCTCCTTTTTGCATCTTTCAATCACTTTACGCAATTGTTGGCGGTGGTGTAGAGTTGCTTTGCGAAGAAAGTGAAACTCCAGACTGACTATTTTAATATTGACTATTTCTTAACTCCAGACAGATCTTAAATCTTAAAATAGTCAAAAATTGAATCTTTAATTATTTGATCTTCAGATTCGATCTTAACTTTGTATTGGGTACAAAATTAAATCTCTGATGAATGCTGCTGAAAAGTTTGCTCAAGTTACATACCTAAGGAAAAAGAGCAGGTGAAGGGAGTAAAGAAGGACTCATACAAATACGTAGTATTATATGGAGAGCTATGTTGGAAGGGATATTCTAAACCTGCTCTCAGGTGCATTTGGAATGGGAACAACCGGCAGCCATGAAGGAAGCCTATGAAGGAATCTGCGCGAATCATATAGGAGGAAAAGCCTTGACAGTTGAAATCATTCGACGAGGAGCATACTAGTCAACTCTAACCCAGGATGCCTTTGCCTATGTCAACAAGTGTGGCAGTGCCAAAAGTATTCCCCAATAATAAACCAACCTGTCAATGACCTTACGCCGATTCACAACCCTGTCCAGTTTGCACAGTGGGGAATGGACATCTTAGGGCCATTCACCACTGCCTCTGCGAGCAGGAAATTCTTGATTGTAGTAGTAGATTACTTCACTAAGTGGATAGAGGCAAAGCCCACCAAGTATATTAAAGCCACGCAGGTCAGGATGTTCATATGGAAAAATATTATCACTAGATTTGGAATTCCGCAATACATAGTGTTTGATCATGAATGTTAGTTCGATTGTGACATCATCAGGGATTACCTTTAAGAGTTGGGTACGAAATATACCAGTGCTTCCATTTTCCACCCTTAGAGAAATGGACAGGCAGAAGCTGCCAACAAGCAGATACTTTACGCTCTCCAAAAGAAGCTAGAGGAACACAAGGGCTTGTGGGCTGATCTAGTTCCAGAAGTGTTGTGGGCAAACAAAACAACTAAAAAACGAAGCAACGGGCAAAAGTCTGTTCTCCCCAGCATATGGAGCAGAAGCGGTATGTACGGTTGAGGTGCAAATCCCGAGTCTGAGGGTGCAGCACTATGACGACCAGAGCAATAGAATGAGGGAAGAATTGGATCTCCTACCAGAAGTCAGGTTGAAGGCACCCCTAAATCTAGCAACTTAGAAAAGTAGAATGGCGAAAGTCTTTAACAAGAGAGTAAAGCATAGGGAGCTCAGCGAGGGAGACCTAGTGCTGAGGTGAACAGCTATAGTTGGAAAAGGAATGTTGTATGGAAAGCTAAGTGCAAACTAAGAAGGACCTTTCATCATACATAACCAGGTGGGGCCAGAAGCCTACCTACTCTCTGATCAAGAAGGCTGCATCCGAAGGAATAGTTTCAACACCGACTTACTAAAAAGGTTCTTTGTGTAACTTAGTTCTTTGCTTTAATGTTTAAAGTACTTTTTAGCTTTAAATGAAGGAGTTTTAGTTACCAACATAAGTAAGTTATAATACACAATTGGAATACGAACCTCTGCGTGAGGCTTTTCCCATTATGAATGGAATATTAACCTCTACGTAAGGCTTCTCCTAATATGATGTCTTGTTTAATATTCACTCATTTGTTTGCAAAAGGTTGTATGTTTTTGCAAGATTAAGCACAAGAAATAAAAGTTTCTAGAACAACATAAGCCTGACAACAATTAAATGAAGGCGATAACCTGCGCGTCTCATCAAAGCCTCGCTAAAATAAATCAATGGTAGAAACCCTGTTCAACAGAAACAGTGGCATAACATAAGCCTCACTAAAACAAGTGCTCGCATAACAAACCTTGAGCCCTACCCAAGAGGTAGAGGAACGGAAGCATGACGTAGCGAGAAGGCCACAATGCTACACTAAAAGAGTCTCTTCGCCTTAGCAGGGAAATGTTACAATGGGGACACCTGAAGTAACATTTCACCTTGGAAAACCAAGGCCAGAGGCACCCGTAAGCAAAGATAGCCAACATAGCAGCCAGGAAGTCAACAAGGTCAACTAGAAACGGGACGATTTCGAAGGATACTAAATGGAACACCCTTTTCTTCTGACCTAGGTGGTTGAGCCCCTGACTGCACTTAACAAGCACATCTATTATTGAGAGCATGAATAAAGAAACAAGCAACAGTGGAGGTGGAAAATAAGCGCAAACATAACAAGTCCAAAGCAAAAAAGGGCATACACACAATAGATTCAAACTTGTGCCAGAAACCCCTTGGCACTAGGTAAGCAAAGTAAGAATCCAAAACACAAAAGTATTGTCATAACGCTAAAAGGGAAACAGTTCCAATAAGCGGCCTGGCCACATACAGCCTAAGAGCCTCAAACATATACCCACTGGCGGCCATACACCCCAATGGAAAAAACTAAGAGCACTAGCTTACTATAGAACGGGGAGAGGGATACTCAGATGAGCCACAGGAAAAAGAGGGAGATGGCCGCCAATACATTTATTAGTTGGCAAGTAGAGCCTCCACCCCAACGGCAGCGATAATATTAGGAGACTCGTTGGGAACCTTGTTGAGAACGGCATGGGCTGGGATATTATAGGCTACCATGCGAGCATTGTCAGTAGGGTGAACATAGGCATATTGGTTCCCTGCCTAATAACCCCTGGCCCAAAATTGCTCAAATTTTTTCTATTGCTCCTTACCCGTGCCAAAGATATTATTAGCCTTCCTACACACAGCCTCCCAACCTCTATCGTGCTGGTAAGTGAGCAAGTTCACAAAGGTGGGGGAAGAAACAAACTACACCAAGGCATTTGCGAGCTGCTTCTAACACCACATCATTATCTCCCTCCAAGCGAGCTACGAGTGCCTCCAAGTCCTGCACTCTAACATGAGCTTGTTTCAGTTCCTCTTCACATTCGGCTAACTTCTGAGTTGAAGGAAGGTGTTTAGCCAGTTGTAGCTGAGCAGCCTCTAGCTTAGCACTCCTCGCCTTTAACCCTTGCTCAAGCTCTCCTTTCTCCACTAATACGAGCTCAAGTTCAGCAATCTTCGCATTCAAGTTCGAGCCTTGAGACTGTTATTCTTTCTCACTAAACAATAAAGCATTGGCTAAATCCCCAACAAAGTGAGTAAGTTGACACAATTGCAAAAAATGCAGTAAGATCTCAAATGTAAAGCAAGCAAGAAAAGTATAAGTAAAGAGAATAAGGAAAAGAAGGAAAAATATTAAACATACCCTCTACAAGTCATGGCAGGCAGTAGCAGCAGAAATACTGACATACTCGTTTCTAGAGCCGGTAGGGAGCCTAACACCCTGGGTCAGCCTGAACCAAAGGGTGCCTCCCTGGAGGCCATCAATCAAGAAAGATGGACTCGTCAGGCTTAACGTTCATTGAAGAGCGGAATGGCTCGTCAATCACCCTAGAGGGGCATAACACAGGTCATAGAGAAGGATCAATGTGAACCTCAAAAAATTCAAGAGGGCTAGTTGCCCTGAAAGTTCCAGCTGCAGACCTAGAGGAAGCCGAGAAGGGATGGACATAAGCTTCCCCAAAATACAGGTTCACACAGCGATTGAGGTTGCTGGAGGCAGGAGCAGCTCCACCTTAAGAATTTAATGCAAGGGCAGGCTTAGATTGGCCAGAGGCTGATGCAAATAGCTCCTCCACAGTTGGAATCCGGGCCCTCTTCGGAGAAGGCTCGTAAGGAGGAGAACGGTTCCAAATCAATAATTACAGTAGGGGTCCCCTTGTCGGAAATGCTAGGTGGGTGCCTACCACGACGATAATTGCACAAACCACCTTGGTACCTGGAAGTAGAGGACCAAAGCTGAGAAAGGGGGTTGTGAGTTATGGTAGTATCAGAAAAAGTGGAGACAAACCTAGGAATTAGAATAGCAAGACCTATAGAAAAAGGGGTTTCGTGTAGAACATGCTTGGCAGAAGTAGACACGTGGCCAAGAACACTCTGCGTAGTAGGAAGAGAAGTCTCCCCAAGGGAGGGCAGAACATGCCCAATAGACCGATGATTGTAGCCGAAGAAATCAGCGCAGCCAATGACCCAGACTTCTGAGGAGAGTTATTAGCCCCTTTGGCTTGATCATTACCAGTAGTAGAAAGTTCTGGCTCAGCCTCTGCTCGTACAGTGGGCGTAGAACGACCAGAACCGCCAGTAGTGGTTGAACCATGTCTAAATTTGAGAGGGCCTGGACGTGTCTCGCTAGCTCGAGCGACAGTATAAAATTCCAATACCTCAAAAGGATAAGGGGAATATCCTCGAGTCTTTAAGACAGGATTCTAGGTATCATTTACACCCAACAACACCTTGTCCAACTTATCATAACCTGGACAAAAGCAAAAAGTAGCCACATAAAGTAAATACAAAAAAAAAAAGAAAAAAAAAAATAGCAAAGAAAAGTGTAAAACAAAGGGAGTAGTAACTCACCAGACTCATGGGTTGAACATAATCGCACGGCAGAGAGCTGAGCGTTCCCAATGACATACAAGCAGTTGGGAAGCCATACCTTGGGTGCGTAATATTCACCCTCAAAATGAGCATAAGCTTGAGCTTCTTTGACAACATCAGTCGGCTACAGAGTAACGCCACCCGTGTTTGATCTTACAGAGCAGAAGAAACCAGAGCACCCAAAATCAGTAGGGACACGTAACCAGAAGAATTTCCCTTGCCAGTCCTTAAAGCGACCTAGCTTAGGGTAGGACAAGACCCTTTTGGGCTTAGGTGCAAGATAAAACCAACCAGAGTCTACACTAAATTGCTTCGTTTGAAGCTAAACAAGGAGTGAAACAAGTTTAAGGACTCAGGAAAGCGCTTGTAGCGCACCGTCCAGAGTAAGCAAATTAATGTGTGCAAGGAAACTGATAAAATCAAAGAGAGAAGGATGTTAAAGGCACGCAACAACTTATCTAGAGTTGGGTCTAGGGGAAACCTCAACCCCACATCCAGCTAAGAGGCAAAGACAGCAATATGATCGGCAGGGGGGTCAGAAAGGTGGCCTCAGGTCAACACCAGCTCATAACCTAAACCCAGCCCAAAAAATGAGTTACCACACTCCGCAAGCTTGAGACGGTCTGCTAAAGACCGCCAGTCTAAACTCAGTGTGCATAGCTTAGGACCTTCAACCTTATCGTCTAGGTAGAACGAGGCATCACTTGGAGGAGCCACCTCATTTATAAACCACGGCTGGCAGGCATGCAAGCCTGCATCACTTGGGGACTGAGACTGAGGGGCAGCCATCAAACCAGTGACAAGAGTTGAACTGCGCACTACATAATGATCAAAACAGTGCATATCAGATATATAATCCAACCAAGCAAACTCACGCAAAGGAAGTACATCAAAAAAGGGCTTATGGGAGCATTAGTAGGACGGTTAGCCTTGACCTCCAGTGCTAATCGCTCGTGGCGAACAGCACATAGCCTCAGACGGAGAAGATGAGGCAGCACGACACCCTTAGTCACTAATTCCCTCTCATAATAAGGTCAAAAGTATCATCGCGCACCCTACCACGAAGGTAAGGGTGAAAAGCGCTAGGGACAGTCGCCTCTACTATGTTAGGAGCACCAGTGGCAGAAGTACTTCCCGCAGAAGTATCATGGCTAGGGGGATATATAACTTCAAGAGGGATACAAGAAACATGAGAGGAATAAAGGACAGATGGCTTGAGAGGCTCACCTGAACGAGCCGACTCGGAACAAGAAGTAAACTCGGACTCGCTACCGCCAACGTAAGAGCGGGAAGACACATTTTGACTATCAGAGACATCCGACAGAGCCGAAAGATCAAAACTTGGTGAAGGAGTATGAAATCAAAAACCCCCCAACAAGGAAGCAAAGTCAAGAAAAGGGGAAAATCAACTTAAGAATGAACAGTAAAACAACAATGGAGAGAGGAAATACAACAACAAGAAAAGAATTGGCCTTTAAACAAGAAAACTAGTATACAAGGGCTAATTAACAGAAAGGCGAAGCAATAAAGCGCAAATTTGGGGAGAAATATACTTAATTTTACAAATTAAGTACAAAAATGGCGGAACAAGGTTGAAAGACAGTACCTTTAATAACGGCGAACGACAAGAACTGGGTAACAAACAATTCGCGATGAACGAAACAACGAACAACGCTTAGAAATTTGCAAAATTCGAAAAAGGGCGAAGAAGTTGGAGAATTGTAAAGGGAGAAAAGAAAAACCACGACTTTGTGTTGGGGAGTGAATGAGCAAGACGAAGTCTTTTGAAATTAGGGTAAAAAGGAAAAAGAAGGAAGCAAATGAAGAAGACGAAGAGATGTGAGCAGTAAGAATTAAAAAGGGGCAATAAATGACAGTTACCTACCCAATAAAAGGAAAAATCACCCACTCAAAAAGCCACTACGTGTAAAAAATAAAAAATAAAAACCATCACAGTAATCAAATCTCCTCGCTCAGCCTAGATCGTCGCTTTGAATAGCTTCAGTTGGAGTAATCAAAGCTCCTCGCTCAGCCCAGCTCGTCGCTTTGAGTAACTTCAGCGGGAGTAATCAAAGATCCTCGCTGCGCCTAGCTCGTCGCTTTGAGTAACTTTAGCAGGAGTAATCAAAACTCCTCACCTCGTCACTTTGACACAGCAGCAATCACCAGTAAAACTCAGGGGGGCTAGTTGTACGAGGATGATCTCGGTTAGCTACTCCATAAGGTAATGAGCAAGTTTAGGTGAGACATTCAAAAAGGCTAGCAAGAGTCCCGCGTACCACCTCTTAGGGGGCTAGTTGTATGAGGTGGCTTTGACGAAGCTCTCCCCATGCTCCAAACCCCGACTCAAGAGAACACCTTCATTCAGCAAGAGCTGGCTTGAGTGCCTCAAAGCACCTCTTAGGGGGCTAGTTGTATAGGGTAGCTCCCGCAGAGCTGACCCACGCTCCCAACACCACCTAATAAGTGTACACTCATACCAGTCTAGCCCGAAGCCACGGATAATACCACAGCAGGCTCCAGCCCGTAGCACAAGGAATCGTACAACTATAAATAGCAAGCCAAGTACAACGGAGAAGAGCTAGACAATCACATTTTATCACTCACCTTTTATTATCTACATTTCCGCCAAAAACCATACTAACTTAAGCATCGGAGGAGGATTCCTCGAAACCACCCCTAAGGGCGGTAACCTCCGTTCATTGTGCACGTATTCCCAGCCAAGGATCAGATCCACACATCTGCCTAGCTTCGGAACTACACCTGGAACACTAACCTCCTCTAGAGACACTGTCTCTTTACCAATAATACAAGACTACACAAAATTCTCATATTACACTAGCAAAGACACTAACAGAATTAAGGCACTACCCTCATCCTCAACCCTAACATCAATATTACGCAATTATAACAGAATAGCATTCAATCGATCTAGGTGTTCTCTAAGAGATGTACCTTCAGACACTCGTAGACCAAATAGGCGTTGCTTCAATAACTTGTTGGTTAAAGTCTTCATCATGTAAAGACTCTCCAACTTCAACCACATCCTCGATACAGTTTCCTCCTCCGCGACCTCGATGATAATATCGTCAGCCAGACATAGCATGATTGTTGAGTGCTCCTAGCCCTTGTTGCCTCAACAATGCCTGCATCTTGATCTGCACAAACGAAAACTATTCCTCCCCGTAGTTTTATATTATTATATATTTTAATTATAAATTTAAATGATTGATTTTTTTTAATGAAATTAATTATTTAATTATCAAACTAGTGTGTATAAAATAATATGAGCAATTAATTTGAGCAGCTAAATATTTTAAATTAGATTGAAGTTGTTTTAAACATAAGACTAGTTGATTGGGAAGAAAGAGAATTTTAAAAGCCCAACCAACTAGCCCAAATGAGATTTTGATAGGGAATTGGATTTCAGTAATGGTAAGTTTATCAATAAATGATTTTTGGTTTTAAAAGGGGATATAAATACCCTAAAAGCTCAAATATTTTCCATTAAAGTTATCTGTCAGATTTCATAAAAAAAAACCCTAAGCCATTTTTCCTTATTTTTATCTCTTTCTTCTTTTTCATCCCACGCACTCTCTCTCCTCCACGAACCACCACTGACTGGCAACCACCAACGGCCACCAGCCATGCTGGCAAACAGCAGCAGCAGCCAGCACTGGCCAACCGTCCGTCCCTCTCTCTCCTCCCTTCTTCTCTTCGGTTTTAGTAACAAAGAAAGAAAAAGTGCCTCTTTCTCCTATTTTAATTTTTTAAACTTGTTGATTTAATTCAAGGCATGATTTTAATTATGATTTGATGTTATTTTTTAATATTTAACATTGTTAATTATTGTGGTAATTTTTCAGAATAGAATTTGATTAAAAACCCCAATTTATAAACCCTGGAATTTGGGAATTTGATGTTTTTTGTTAGGGTTTGATCTTAGATTGTTGTGGTTGATAAATTAATGATTAGAACATGTTTTAATGAGTTTTAAGCCCTCAATTAATTCTGAAAATTTATTATACACACTACTTTTTGAATATTATGTTAGGGTTTGATTACCTATAAAAAGGAAAAAGCTTTTAATGATTTATATACGATTTTCCGCTTTATTAGTGATGTTTTTATATAAATAAGTATGTGGGAATTTTATTTAAGTCATCAAAAGTAAGTCTTTTTGAATGAGTTTTAAGTACCCACTTTAAGAAAAGGTTTTAAGGCATTTAAGCCATTAAATTGGGTTAATTATTAAGGTTTAAATCATTTAACAGTTGCTGGAAATTTTTTTAGTAGTGGATTAATTTTGGTTATGTTTTTTTTATTTGTAAGAAGTTTCGAGCTAGATGACTTGTAGTGAGTGTGGCCGAAGTAAGACAATATTCAAGGTACGTATGCGCGTAAAACTAATTGTATATGCGTAGTATCATGCTAGGAGTTTAAAGTATGTATCAAGTGATGAAGTAGTAGCATGTTTAGTTCATAAATGCTTTGAATTGTGGTCGATTGATGATGAATTTATGTGCAAGCATGTGTACATGTTATTTTAGGCATAATACAAGTTAAATTATGTATGAATCATAGAAGTATGTTTTATTTTCAAGTATCAAGAAAGCATGAAATTAGTAAACAATGTTTATATATGTTTAAAGGAGCTAAGATTTTTTTTTATTTTTAGCATGATTCATGATTTTATTCCCACTCATATATTATTGGAGTTGAGTCAAGGAAGTTAGTTTATTTATTTACTCACTCACATAAATTGAGGTTGAATCCAAGAAGTTTACCACCCATATATTATTGGAGTTGAGTCAAGGAAGTTAGTTTATTTATTTACTCACTCACATAAGTTGAGGTTGAATCCAAGAAGTTTATTAGTGCATTTTATGCACTAAGGTAGTAATAGTGCAATTTTGTGCACAAAACTAGGCAATAAACCTTAATTAAAGGAAAGAACTATTGTAAATGGCATGACACTTTTACTCATAAGACTAGCGATTGCATAATATTTAGAAATAAGATTCAGGATGAAATTGATTAAAAAAAAAAACACATAAATTTCCTTGATGAGAAAGTTAGCTCTTGCGAAGTAGAGTCAAAGTCTGCATCAAAGTCTAAAGTCTATGAAATGAATTGTTTTATGGTAAGCGCTGACATGGATACTATGGAAGATTACATACAAGATTGAAAGAGGTTATTGTTGCAGTCAGATTGTATGAGAGACTAGTCAAGGATGGAGTAATTGTGTCACCTTAATGTCAGGACGATGATTATGAAGATATGATGATATAGATAGCACTTTAGTTTTACTCATGCTACTAATGAATGTTTGGCCTTCAAAGGGTTTCTTAACAAAAAGATCAAAACAAATACAGTAAACGTTTCAAAGCAAGAATACCAAACGATGAATCTTGCTGAGTTCAATCCTAAAGGGAAGAAGGACAAAGCTAAGTCCTCTGAGAATGATCAAAGGACTCGTAGGTCACCTGACAAGACAAGTAATCACACACATAAGGCAGAGTCTTACAAAGAGGCAATTCAGTTATTTCCCTTGCAAGTTAAAGCGATAGAGGGACTTAAAAATATGCGACACAATCTTTGTCATTCTTGTGTTGATGATTTATTGCATTTTGAACTGGTCAGGAGACCATCTCAAATGATCCTGATTGGATACCCAAACACCAAAGAATTCATCACATGAATAAAAATAAAATAGTATTAAAAGTGTTGAGCCATATTTAATTGTTTAGTTCATCAACATTTCAGGACTTTAAGATCACAAAAGATAAGATAACATTAGATTAGATACTTCATAAAAAAAATAAAAAATAAAAAAATAAAAATAAAAAAAAAGATCAGAAATTCAGGATCTTAACACCCCAAACAACGAAGGAAGTATAAAGAAGAAAAAATTTCAACATTACCAACTACTATTATTTTTTATTTTTTGAAACAAACAAGATATTATTATACTAAACCTATTTCTGCCAAAGATAAGAGACTTTGGGGAAAATTGTTCATATAAATGTGTTCCACATTATAAGTGGTTTACCACCGAGCAACGCAATGAGCAAATACATTACCCCCTGCTTAACGTGCATACACTTAAAAGAGTTAAACATACTACTAGTTTAACAAAATACAAATATGAACAGAAAAGTTGGAGCAGCCCCATCCTGTTTGCCTTGAATTGCTCTTACAACATTTGCAGCATCACACTCCAATTTAACATCCACAAAGCCCCACCTGCTAGCAAGGCGAACTCCATAGGCAGCGGCATCAGCTTCAGCCATCTCAGAAGACTAATCACAGCACCTAAGCTTACCCCATTACCCGTCACACACATGAGCATCCATATAACCGCAGCAAAACTAACCCCAGCATTAGTCTCAAAACATAGCCCCATTAGCTCGCATACTGACCTTAGCATTATAAGCGAAATAATCAAAGCACAAATTAACAAAACCCGTAGCCGTAGAAACTACACTAACCCCAGCATTAGTCTCAAAACACTCCTTGTTCCTGCAGTGCCATGCGGCCCAAACTAAGGCAACAAAAATAGAGAGTTTTTTTCTATTATAGTTTCTATTAACAATGAAAACACACTAACACAGTATGCCTATGTTCAAAATATAACAGAAAATCATCTGCACCCTGCAAAATATATATACAACAAAAAAGCATTTCAATAAACAAACCAGATGAAAAGCAAAATGTAAGCACATGTCAATCAATTGAGATTTATATTATATACTAATCAGATCATAAGCACATATCATAACTATGACTTTTCTACATTGATTAGAACATATTATAAACAAAAATAAACTTATGGAAAATTTTAAAACCCAATTATACAGTAGGACTGATTCATAATCATCATGAATTTCTTGTACACCCTTCAATTAATAAGGAAACTACATCAAATGGCCACTAAATGACTTGAATGGGGTCAAATGGAAACTCTTGCCCATCCAGAGTAATCAAGCAATAAGAGGGTACATCAATCCTCGTAGCAAAGCCAATAAGCTAACTCCATGGGAAGCTGCCTGTCAAATAATGCAAAAAGTCCAACAAATCCCATCTCCTTAACTATCTTCCTTTTTTGTTCACAAAATTCATTAAGAATTATACCAAAACTCTCCACCTGACAATTTACATTTTCAGGCTGCAGACAATATATAAAAAAACATAAAAATCACATACCCATAAAACATGTCAAACTGAAACATATATTAATAGTTGTCAAGGCTTTTTAACCCTTTACAGCTCCTTCTTGCATCTTTCAATCACTTTACCCAATTGCTTAGTCTTAGCCCTCTTACTAAGTGTATTGTCCTACACAAACAGAAATTAAACATATTAACAACACGTGTCAAAAACAATTAACAACTCACCCTTGATCAACTTTCTTACAAACGTACAAACCAAAATAATTCTTTGTCAACACACTACCAAAATGGTCGGGAAACAAAATATACAACACTAATAAATGTGTTACCGATACCTTTTGCAAGTTCCTTCCACCAGAATCATCTTCAAGATCAGGGAAGATCATGTATTTCTTCTACATCCTTGAATTTCAATGCACAAAATAATTAAGATCAATTCACCACTTCACTACACTGCAAATTATTGCTGCAAATTATTGTCTAAGATATAGTGTCTAAGATAGTGTGTCATATGATGAGAACATAAAAACATGTTGCCACTATTAACCAAAATTCCAACACTCTTACACATACAGAAGAATAAAGTTTGAATTTTAAGTTAGACAAATGCACAACAATTTTCACTAAATCAAACAAGCATGAGCAAACTTCAAAAAAACTTAGGATGTCACCAGCTTAGTTAAAATCAGAGACATACAGCAAATTAGGATGTCAGCCACTATGCCAATACGCAACATAAGTAGGATGTCCAGCAATTTAGATGGACCATTTTAGCATTTTAATTTGATCAATTTAGGATATCACCAACTTAGTTAGGATATCAGGAACTTAGTTAGGATATCCACAACATAGATAGGATACCACCAACTTAGGATGTCACCATGAATTTAGATTGTGCAATTTTGGATACTCAAAGTTAATTGATCAACTTAACAATGACACAACAGGTTTTTAGCTCTGAATAAATATCCAATTTTACTTACATACGCAATTATGTAGAAGGATTACAACAGTAAAAAAGAACTTAGTTTAGTTTTCATCAAATTAAGCTTAAGTACAATGTACAATATAATTTATTAGCCCTTTAAATAACTTTTATGAGAATGTATTAAGCTAAAGGAGAACATAATATGACTTTAAGTTGTTAATGAATAATTATTACTTATTAATGAATTAATGAGAAATTATCAGCTAAAATCCTAGGCTTGTGAAAAATTCCATCAAGCAAATCCTTGTGACAAATTCCGTCAAGCTATAATCCTATTATAATAACTACATCGAGCAAATAAAACTGCAAAGTAGACCACTTGTGAAAAATACAATTCGATTTCATTGGAAAACTTGCACAATTAATTTGCCATAACCCAAAATCAGATTCACAAAATTTATTCACCGCACTCACCTTTTCGACTACACCACCTCACGCACGTCCACCTCTTCTTCCACCCCTTCGGCCACCGCTCTCACCCCTTCTACCACCTGCTACAGAAAACCCTTATTAAACAAAACCCTAGATTCGTTATTGAACTTTTGTATACAAATAAAAAACTTGGTTTACCTGACATGGCACAACAATTGCTTCGTTGAACACCTTCAACACCTACGAATTTTGTTCAAAACGGATCTTACACCTTAAACAGTACACACTCTCGACCACTCGGAAACAATACACTTCGACTCCCAACAATCTCGAACTAACAGGAGTCTTTGACCAGGACACACTCTCGACCAATTTCCACGATTTTCAGGCCCTTTTTCGCTATGTTTTCGCGAGATTTTCCGATGAGTTTTCCGGTGAGAATTTTTTAGAGAGAGAAAAAGAGAGCTCTTTTTTACAGCGCAGTAACTTCCACTGAGAGGAGAGAGAATGTATTTTAAAGTTACTACAGTCTACAGATCAGTTAGTATTGTGATTTCTTAACGATGAAATGACTGTTTTGCCCCTAGTATTGGACACACATGTCCATACCGGGTAGCGGTCCATCATGCCTCCTCTTTGCCAAAAACAATTTAAGAACTTGCTTTACCGAAAAGAGGTCATTGTTATTCAAATCTTCTACGGAGTAACAAAACATGCACTTGGCTCCAAACCCAGAACCGGAACCTCTATTTTGATTTTTTGCTCATTCAACTACCTCTAAGTAATGCTAATTGTGACTCAAACCTTATACAGAGTAACCAAACACTCGAAAACGGTAATGATTTAATTGAATTTGTTTTCAACCAAACAATCAGTCTTACCAAACATGATCTAAGTTTCTAATAGCATTCTAATTGACAATATTTTATTATAATTGAAACCACATAAGTTAGTCAAAGTATTATGGAGTATTTGTGAATGGTGTCAAATGTTTTTTTTAAAAAAAAAAAACACGAACGAAAAAATAACATGAAAAAATTACCCAACAATTGTATAAAATATTATAATCGTAGATATTTACAAAAATCAATGAAACAAAACCTATGTTATTTTTTACAAAATAACTAGTTTTTGGACCCGGGCGATGCCGTGGGTTATTACATGGAATTGATCACTAATATACGTTGTAATTTATGACTCAATTTTCTTGTAATTAAATTTGTTGTTCATATTGTCATTTACTACATATATAGTAATATTTTGTATTCAAAAGATTGCATAGAAAATCACATAGCTTGGTGGTAACATTAATATACATTGTAATTTATGACTCGATTTTCTTATAATTAAATTTGTTGTTCATATTGTCATTTGCTACATATTAATATTTTGTATTCAAAATGTTGCATAAAAAATTACATATCTTGGTGGTAAGACACTTAGTTGCTTGTATAATTAGAGGTTGGGTGTTCAAATCTTGTGAATAACTTTTTTTTTTTGTTATTATAATGGCATGACATACAATGAAGAACAATTGGAAGGGAGAGCCACGTGGTGTAATGAGTAGTTGAGTAGGTGACATGGCATAGAGGAGAGTATACGTGACACATGGACGTTCTTATAAATGCCTTTTAATATATTAGTATAGAAGATGCATATCAAATTTATAATGGAATAACATCATACTACAATCAACTTTAATGGACTATTGAACTACTCAAGGGTATGATTATACATACACTAGTCTTTTATGCACACAATGCGTGCGTGGATTTTATATTAATGCATGCATGATTTATACACTGTATATGTGTATTAATTAATTGATTGTATTAATAGACGTTAATTAAATATAATTTAAATTATTTATTTTTGGATATAATTCAAATAATTGATTGTAATTGTTTTAGATGTAATATTTTGATGATTGATTGATTGATCGTCTCAATTTATTTGCTGATTCATTGGCCTTTTACCTTACAATATCTATAATATATCTCTATTTAAAGGAAGAAGTATGTTTTGGATTATTGAAAAGGAACGTCATCAGTCTCATTACCTAACACCCCTTGACATATAATAAAAGATAATAAACATAAACATCCCAGCTATTCTCGGAGTAAGAGAGTAGAAATTTGAAGAAAATAGAGATTATGGTGCATGATGCTTGGCTAGATTTGTCGTGACCTTCTATTGTTGAAATGGAATCCATCAAATATTTTGATTAGCTTGACCAGATTTTACTGCAAACTTGTTTGAAATCATAAATAGAGAGATGAATGAAGAACATTTTATGTGTTCAGTACATTATAAAACGTACTTCATAGCAACATATATATAGTGTAAAATTATGATGAGTAATAAGGATCATGATCCCTTGATCATTAGATCATGTTAACATTAACCCACTAAACCCACTACTCTTAAGACTCCACTAACACAAACTAATTATTTAATAGATCATCAAGGCCGGCTGAGGGTCTGTGCAACACAGACCCTCAGCACACGACCTGTGCAAACAGACCCTTAGCACAGGGCCTCCAAGTTTTTAGGGCCCAAAAATTTGAAGCTCTGTTGGTTTTATTCTTCTTATCAAATAGCGATGATTCCTCTTCCCCATTAACTAGCTTTTAATACACACCCATCCCTCAAAACTTCCGTTAATTAATCACTCCGTCATTCTTGCAATTCCCATAAGGCCATAAGCAATAATTAAATCATAACATTCCATATTCATATCACTCTAACTTCTTCATTAATTTTCAATGAGATTTCTATTCTCATTGTGAACTGCTAAATAAAGCCCACAAATTTTAAGTGAATTAACACTTTTGCCCACAAACTAAAAAACACACTCTCATCTTCTCTCTACTCTACTCTCATTTTCTCTCTCTAAATAAAAAAAAATTTAAACTACAATGTCGAGGCGGCAAGGCAAGGAAGTGGCGGCACCGGAGGCGGAGGGAGGGCGGTCACACGGTGGGAAGGTACTTTAAAAAAAACAAAAAATTAAAAAAAAAATGCGGCGGCGACGCTTGGGGAGGACGCCGTGACCACGGTGGCGGCGCCCTAGCCAGAAGCCTAGCCCACGGCAGCGCCGCCATCTTTATTGGTTTTTTTTTATTATTTTTTTAAAAAAAAATTTCAGAAGTTTTGTATTTTTTTTTTGTTTTCTTTTTTTTTTTAATTTTTTGTTTTTTGTTTATATTTTTTTTTATGTTTATATTTTTAATTTTTTTTGTTTTTTTTTTTATATTTTTGTTTTTGTTTATATTTTTTGTTTTTGTTTTTGTTTATATTGTTTTGTTTGTTTTTATATTTTTTTTTTCAAATTTGTTGTTTTTTTTTTTATGTTTATATTTTTTTTTCAATTATTTGTATATTGTTTTGTTTATTTTTTTTTTCCAATGTTGTTGTATTTTTTTTTTAATGTTTATATGTATTTTGTATGTTTTGGTATTTTTTTTCTTTTTGTGTGTGTGTGTGTTTTTTGTTTATCTTTTTTTTTTTTTTGTGTTGTGTACTTTTTTTTTATGTCATTTCGTTAGTATTTTTTTTGGTTAGGTATTTAATTTTTGTTGTTGGTACTTAAAAAAACAGATTATTAATACAAATAATAATAACAATTGCTATTATTATTTTTCGTTATTTAAACGGAGTTAGGTATCGCATTTTCGACCTGGTGCGGGGAAGAGTATGGATGTTATTAGAAGTAGAATCTACTCAATGGAGAGCTCGAGGCCCAGACACGTTAAATCCCGTGGTATTTCGGCCTCGGCTCGCAGAGAACGGGTTCACCATCCTGAGGAGGATGAAGATGATGATGGTGATGAGGAAGAGGAGGAGAAGGAGGACGCAACTGAGGATGTGGTGCTTGGGAGGGACAATCAGAGTGGACCATATGATGATTACGGTCCATTCAGTCAGAGGGTTGAAGATATGTATGAGACGCATAGGGTAGATTTGCGTAAGGGTTAAGATGGTAGATTTGTTAGTAGATCTGGCACATCATCTATGTCGACTGTTAGCAGAAAGCGGTCGAGGAGCGTTAATGATTCTTGGGTGGTAAGGGGTGAGGTGGCTGGGGGACCTGTAGACGGGAGTGTGATTTCTAACTTTCTAGGACTCATAGCTATTCGTATCTGGAAGGACCAGGAGAAAGCTTTGGATACGAGCATTTTGAAATGCCAAACCCGGGAAAAGACTTGTAACTTTTTGCGTAGTTGGGCTGAGGCTTGGCCGGAGGACAGCGAGATGCTCGGCCGATTAAGGGGCACTAGAGTGAGTCACCTTCCTACAACCATGCACGATAGGATTGACTCAAAGTTGATCACGGCTTTCGTTGAGCGATGGCAGCCGGATACGAACTCTTTCCACCTTCCGTTCGGTGAGATGACGATCATGTTGCATGACATCGAGGCCATCCTTGGGATTCCCGCAGAGGGAAAACGACTTTTTGTTGTGACTGATGCGGATCAAACAGATTACTAGCGAAGTTGTTGGCGGTGGACAGGGCTATGCTGTACACCGCGGCGCTTGGTGTTTGGGATCACGGCGATGTGAAGATCGTAGCCGTTTTGCAGCGATGTTTGCACCCCACTGCACGTAGGACGCATGACACACAACTGGCTGCATATGTTTTTCTTCTCCTCGGGTGTACCTTGTTTCCGGATAAGAGCGGAAACAAGCTCAGGCCACGCGACATAGTTGACGCGTGTGAGCCTGACGGAGTAGGCCAGTATTCTTGGGGGTCGGCTAGGTTGGCGTATCTGTATCGCCAATTAGGATTCTCGAGTCAGGCTGACGCGGCAGGTATCATTGGATGTCTGACATTATTATAGACCTGGATATACGAGTATTTTCCTGTGTTTCGACCACACCGTGACCCGGTTCCTATTGAGGATGGGATGGCACGTGCCTCAGCGTGGAGTCCGCGGTTCGAGAAGAAGTCCGTTGACCGCCTCCGATCGATACGGTTATTGCTTGACAGGATGTCTCCCTTAGAGGTAAAGTGTATAAATTATTTCTAATTTTATATTTTGATGCATTTATTATATGAATCTTACTGATTTGAAAAGATGTGCATGTGAACTGGATGCCTTTTGGCCAGAACCCTAGTAATAGGGTACCCAGGACCCTCTACCGTGAGATCGTAGAGGCGTACATGCCCCAGCGCTGTCTTCGCCAGCTTGGATTTGTCCAAGTTGTCCCTCCTCTGCCAGCATGGCCCCGTAAGGCGGTCCGATTTGCGTCGTCGAAGGAGTACGTCGTCCAATGGCCGGAAAGCATGGTTGCCACATGGGAGCAGTTTTCGATGGTTGCCCGCTTATGGACTGCGGAGCTGCAACGGCCGCCAACTAGGGTGACTGGCATGTGTGACCAGCACTACATGGAATGGTACAGCCGGTATTCGCACCCGAGGTTGATCAGAGACCTCCACCATGGTGACGACAGCGATGATGATGATGTGCCACCGCCCACTGCTGTGGATGCGGTATGTCTCATAAAAA